GGAATCTGAGAAGTGACCTAACTTGCTCTTTGAAGGGTTTCTTCTTCCTAGCTAACATCTTTTGGGACCAGAACGAGTTTGCACCAGTTGTTTTCTGTTCAGCTAGTAACTTACTTAAAGACGCTGTAATATTGAGTGAAGAGCATATTTGATTTTGCAGTGATAGAACCGATGAAGTAATGTACGAGTTGCATCAGTCAGCACCAGGCAGATCCCCAATGAAAGAACCATTGGGCAGTGGATTTTATCTCCTGCTTTACCATTGGGATGTTGAAAGATGTAGATAAGACATCCCTGCATTCCAAGGGCGTTGTGTCACTAGTATGTATAGAGTGCTTTGGAAACCTGAAATGCAGCACTGATGACCCAAATTGTTTAAAGTCATGAGACTGGTTTTCAATCATGAGACAAGTTGTAAAAATATTACTACTGCCCCTTCTAACCCTGAGGTTTTTTTTGCTGATGTAGTATAGGTTTGTGGTCCCCCTGAATTGCAGTTTTAAGAGTTAGCAATCACAGCAGTCTGGAAGGGGAATTCATACCTCTCAGAGCTATTATTTCAGCCTCTAAAGACTCCAGAGGACAGAGGTGACTCCGTTGCACATGTTCGAAATTTTCCTTTGCAAGTCATCAGGGTTAGAGATAACGATATCACCACACAGTTCTGAGAATTGGGGGTCCCTAAGCATGCATCTGTCTTCCCTGCTTAAAGCTGCATACAGGCTGTTTTTTCCTCTCATTCGCAGTGCAGCTTGTTTTGTTTTTAAAATATAGATGCGAGTCTGGGGAGAGAAGAATTAGAAATGCTGCAAAGTGCTGCTCTGCTTCGTTCCACAAGATCTGGAGTTGTGGAGGGTTATGAGAAATTCCTCAGAACTCCAGAGACTGTTAATCCATCTGCACACAGTATCCAACACACTCAGACCCTGGTCCTGATCATTACTAACAGTGATATCCTGAGTTTACCCAAGGGTAAAAAACAGATTTCTGGCACCGGTTACTTGAAAGTTTATGAAGTCTCCTTCAAAAATCAATATTTGGGACATTTTCTTAAGGGACATAATTAAAATCAGCTTTCTCTGGCGACAAATGGACTCATACCAGGCAATCACTTTTAATCAAGCTCCGTACCATTAGTCTAGTGTGAGAGAATTTTTCTTTCTTTATTCATTGTTAGAATGAGACTATGCAGCCACTGCACTCTCTGTCCTGCTGAGCATTAAAGAAATTCAGACTTACTCAGAACAATATGAGTTTCTTGGCTGATGGCCTTTTTTAAGTATTATCGGAAAAATGATATGTTCAACTAATTTAAGGGCAAATCTATCCCTGTTTTCCATAAGGGCAAATTGAGAAGTATATCAAATTGTGAAGTATGCACCTTTTCCCAATTTGGCTTAGAGATCTATAATTTAGTGTCTGCTTTCTAATTTAACTTGCTTCTAAGCAAGGGGGGGGAGGGAACCTAGGCTCCCTTAACTGCCTAGATGGAGAAAACATTTTAGAAGATGTACCTAACATGTTTTCAGGCTTCAGTTAGAGCTGAATATCAACTTAAGTTAACAGATGTATTAGTTTTATCAGCTTATGATCAGTCCTGGTCAGAAGGAAAGCCAGTTGAAGACTCCCAGCAGATGTGAGTTTAAAAACCTGCCTGAATAAGGACAATAAAACAGGAAAGGAAGTATGGAAATAGAAGATTACCATACCTGAAGGGAAGGTAGGATCTCAAGGACTTTAATGGGCTCAAGTTCAGAGGACTGGGTAATCTCTATCCTAGAACTCTGAAGCTATATGAAATCACGGGTCTGATGGCGACAATCTTTAGGTTAGTGCTGCATGACTGAAGAATAGGATCTGTATTTAATAAGGAAAAAAGTAAGTTGGGCAGTTGTAGGTCTGGTTGTATATATTTAAGCAAGAGGTATTTGGCCTGGAACAGAAAGATGATCGTGGGAATTAAGAAGCTATAGCACAGAAGGAGACTATGACAGCTTAGTTCCTTCGCCCCTCCCCCCCCACAAGAAGAAGTGTGGGGGTTGAAAGGTAGTTGGCTTCCTACAGATACACAGGGTGGGGGCTGTGAATGCTAGGGAGGGAACTGGCACTTATATCAAATTTTGCACCAAACTTAACTTAGCTATGAATAAATTTATGCTGGAAATGAGAGTTCCAGCACCTCTCTGGTTGGAAGCTCCCTTCTAATAAATGCAGTGTGGACAAACAACCTAATTAACTTCGAGGCAGAGCTTGATTAGTTCATAGTGATCACAGCATGTGGTTGCTTGGAACAGCGGGCAAGTAGACTCCATGACCCAGGAACTCCCTTCTACTCTTGTTTCTAATCCACTCTTTTGAAAGCTTAGTCCTTGGGTCAGAGAGATGGTGAATAGCTTGATTACAGATACTACTGTTTTCCTAAATAGAAAGGAGAGATTTACCATATTTTTAAAAAAGAATTCCATGTGCCAATACTTAGCTGCCAACCTGAGAATTTTTTTTCTAACTGACAACCAAACTCCTACCGGCATATGTTTTACATAATGTAAATGTAACTCTTCTGCTAAGCCCTGGCCAGCAGTAAGGAGGGCTGGGTTCAAATTTAGGGGTTTAACAGCAACTTTCTAAATCTGTGAAACCTGGAAAAAGAAATCTTAATTGGATATGCTAAAGGAACAAACTTCCCTGCTTGTAAGCAATGTTCAACTATAACAGGGTTATTGTAGGGGAAGGAGGGATAAACACACACCCTTAGAAAAAACCTTACCCATTAAGCATTAAGTGAAATCCAAAGAGTTTATAAATCTCAATCACTAGCAAGCCAATCCAGGGGAGCTATTGTAACCTACCCCAGTCCTTTGGGAGGGGAGTCTTGCCCAGGGCTACCATCCAGAGGCTCTGGCACTTACGCTAGCCAAATATGACCACCAACCAGTAAGACCCAGGCTCACAAACAGTAAAACAGGCACATGTAGCACCCAAACCCACCCTACATGTCCCCTACTCACTCCCACACTGATACCCCCAACCCCATACCATGTTGCTCCATGCAGCACACCCCCTAACTTTACCTTCAGTGGCCTTGCTCCCCTTGTCCTGGTACAGACCCCCACCCCTCACTTCTCCCTCCTCCTTGCTCCACATCTCCGTCCCAGCCACACTGGCCCCGTCCCTGTCCTACGTGATTGCTCAGGGCCATGTGACCCTGATACCCTTTGAGACAAGCAGCCACAACAGGAAAGTGATGGCCAGCAGGATGCAGCAGCAGCAGCACATGGATAAGCGGGGAGGAGTAGAGAGGCCTCTAGGCCAGAAAGCCCTGATGAAGAGTCCCTGTAATGTGCTGAATTGTGTTTCCACTCAGGCACAAGGTGGCACTGTACTGCTCTGTTCTGCTCTCCATCAACACTTGCATCCAGCCTCATTCCAATGACGGATCTTCAATCAAGCACTCAGAGTTGCTTTTTTATTTATTTTTTTTAAATGAAGGCTATAGTTTTTTGTTTCTAAAAAGTAAAGTTTATGGCCCATCCCATAAATTTACAGGCAGTCATCTACCCAGATTTTTATCCTTTTAACATCCATAATTTCCTTTCGTCCTGTTCCATAGACTTGAAAGCAACCAATTTATATACCAAAGGCTGGGGGAAGAGGGAATCCAAAGAAAACATTTATTTTTAAATATCTTACACTATTTTAAAATGAGGATTTTGGGTTCTCAAGATACTTTTTCCATGCAGCCCTGGCAAAATACTGTTCCATACTGTTTTGCAAAATACTAATTACTGTAGTTCTCACTTAATCTAATCCCTTCAAAGCAAAAATACAATTTAGAACAAATTAAGCCTCTCTTTACAGCAGACTAAATGCTACAAGTGACCAGCTGGCTTTTTTTTCTTTTTCTGAGTGGCAAGATATGTCGGACTTGTTACAAGTTGGTCTAGGTGTAGAGTGAGCTGGGCTACTTACACCTAGACCAACTTGTAACAAGTCCATCCTTGTACATCCCTGTAATTCTGGGGAGGAGGAAGAAAGCAGAGAGGAAGAAAGATACTGCCTGGTGTTTGTCCTGATGCTTTCTTTACTCAGAAAATTATTTGACTTGACACCAGATGCCACTTAATTTCTCCTGCAGGATAGACAGGAGTGCACCACTCATTAGTGAAATGCTGTAACTACTAGGGAAGACTAAAGCGATGGGAATTCCACCCCAACCTAGTCTCGGAATCAGGTAACTGTGGTAATACAACCAATGCCCATTAAGAGCTCTTTTCATTTAGGCACTAGAGTTTGCTTCCTGGAAACCCTTCCAGGATGATGATGATGATGAATGTGGTGGTAGTATTTCTCCAAGCATGTTACAACTGTTGTCAGACTTCACTTAGGTTGGAATATTTGTAATCGGCTACAGATGTCCAAGGATTTTTTATGTGTTTGATGTCTGTGACAAAGTGTTAGATACTCAAAATTACTGCAGCAAAAGCATCTTACTACCTCTATAGCTGTTTTAGTAATGTTGAAGTGACAATGTGTGGTTATGGTCCAGGAAATACACAAGAGACTATGATTCTTTTAGGTGGTCTCTTTTATTGGACCAACTGCATAGTTGGGATAGTCTATGCCAACCGTGCAGTTGGTCCAATGAGAGAAACTACCCACAGAAATACTTACCCTTGCATCTTTTTTCTTTTTAACTGCAAGGTCTACATCTGCAAAAACAGGGAATTTCTTCATTTTCTTTTACATTCATTAAATATTTTGGACACTAAAATATTCTCTCTTTCCTAATTAATCTGTTAGCGCTAGAATTCTAGTTCTGGTGAAAATGAAACAAAGGAAAAATTCTGGCATTCAGGATATGTATGTTTTTCTTGTTCAGTATACAAATGAAAAACTGATTTGGTGATGGATGTAGAAGTCATTGTTATAACATTTAAAACAGACTCATCCCTACATGCAAACGAAACTACTAAGAATAATAAGTAAAACATGATTTATTACACTTTGTACAAAATTAGATTCAAAACAAGCCAATTTAGAATATATTACATTTTGTATTTTGTTTGTATTTTACATGCTGTTGGTAAATGATCACTGCAAGAAGAAAAGTTAATTTTGTTGTTTTTTTTCTTATGCCAAATAAGTAAGCCTCTTTAATGTTGTCATTTTCAGTTTCTAAATTGTAAGGAAGTCATTTCCTACAGAACTATTATTTCTGATTCACCAGCAGGAGGTGCTCCAGATCAACAAGCTGGCTTTCCCTAGTTCGGAGGGATTTTCCAAATTAGAGCCTCAGTTACTACTACAAGGTAATGCCGCTATACTGGAGTCCTTAGTAACATGTCCTTTTTTACAGGATGTCTAGAAATCTTACTACAGTATTGCTGACAGCAAAACCATTACAACTGAAGACTGGCAATCACCAGAAAAATCCAGTGTTCTCCAACAGCCATTGGTTAATCTCCCACGCTTTTTAAGTTTAGAGTGTGCTCAGACAGGTTTGATGTGGTTAATAAAATACCTTTTAGGAAAAATAAATATTTTGCATAATGTATATACAGAACTTGGTTTCCTTCATAATTTGTTCAACAACACGCACACACAAGTACAATTTATTCACAAACTTACAAAGACTAGGACAAACTTGCTAACGTGAAGCAATCAAAGAAGGAATCAGCTGGCTATTTATGAAAATGTGCAAATTATATGTGAGAGCTTGAAAAATGGTGGCTTACCTCAAGGAAATAACACAAATTGCTCTTGGTCAGTCCAAGAACAGTTTAGCCCTTCCATCAAAATTTCCCTCCAATATGTTTGAAGCTGGTCACCTTCATGAAATGTCAAAATCAATGCAGAATAGACTGCAAGGTAGGACTAAATCTACTTTCTTTTCCTTGGACTTCAAGGAGCCCTTTGCAAACGTTTCTATAGACTGCAGCTTTCCTCTTCAGCATTTATTCCTCTTCAGTCCTTTTCTGCCCACAAATAGCATATGCAATACACTTGTCCAAGATTTCCTTACCAGCACACTTTTTTAAAACAATGAAATAATTATGTTCAACAAAAAGATATTGCACAAAAAGCATAATACACTGCAGACACTACAGAGATGACCAAAAGTAGAGAGAGACAGAAACAGCTATTACCCAGCCTAAAATTTGAAGAGATCGATGAAATGCTGAGGAGAAACTGGCATAAAACAGGTTTCTGGGTCGTTGGCTGTACAAGGATGTCCTGTATCCTAAAGAAATTAAAGTAAAAAACAAGTTATTTTCTTACTCCTCCTTCCCCCTGCCCCCAACTTTAAAAACAACCAAACCATCCAACCAACCAACCAAACATTTTTGATTAAATGAAAAGAACTTTTTAAATGCACACTTCAGTCAGGGCACACATTTACTTAAGTTGCAAGTCAAGAATTTTTTGCTGAACAGGTTTTTTCCTTGTGTTGATAACAGTGACTGTTTATGAAATCAGGGCCAGTTCTGACAAGTCTCTTTTTGAATTAAAGGTGCAAAATTGTCAAACTGTCCCATTTCAGCAGTTCCAAACCAGGAAAGTTTAAGTTTGAAAATTGTTTACTTTTGGAAATTTTAGTTTAAAGTGGGGAAAAAGAAAGATTTAAATGACTCATTAAAAATAAATTAAATAAATTAAATATTTTTATAAGCCCAAAACTAATCTTTCTTTTTTCTTTTTTAACTAAAAATTTGAGACTGACTTTCATTTTGATTTGGGATGGGGACAATTTTGATCTCAAATTTTCATGGAAGGGTGGCATATTTCCTGCCCAGCAATAATTGTAAGCAGTTTAGAAAAACAAAGGTCTTTGGTTATGCATACACAATGGGAGACTGAATCCTGGATTTCAAGGTACTGTCACACTAAACTTTCTAAAAATAAGTCCCATCACAAAAAGTTTCTTTTGGAAAACAGAGCAGGAAGCAGAGGATTCTTCTATTCCACAAATACAGCGAAGTTGAGTGTCCCTATTACAGTATTCAAGCTCTTGTATTCAAATTAGTGTTGGGAAGCCAGTCAATTGACTGGTCAAGTGACCACCTAGTACTTAATCACAGTAAAAAACTTTTCAAATATTCCATGAAGCCAAGAATGCCCATGTGTAGGTGGCAGCCTTTTTTATTCCACAATTTCATCTCTTAGCAAGGGTAGGAAGACTGCATGCCTTGCCCCTCAGTCCTGCAGGAGTCAAGAGACGTGTGTGTATGTTCATTTGCTTATTCACTCCAGATCTCTCCTGCAAGAGAATGTGTCTTGTGAGAGTGAACACCTGTATGCTCAACTCCATGATCAGAAGGGGTCAAAGTAGGCAAAGTATGCCCTGTGCCTTCCCCAAACTAGGGATCATCGTGGTTGGTGAAAGTTGGCAGCAGGGGCATCTGCTGGAATACCTGTATGCCTCGCTCAGCAAGATTTCTACTGCTGCAAATTTCCCAGAACCTTGAAAATCTATCACAACCCTGTCCATGGCTGTACATAAACACTCCTTTCCTCCCTCTCTATTGAGGAGCAGGCTAATACATATTAGTTGCTATGTGCAGGTTTTTTAAAATTTTATTTTGTAACTGTACAGGCTGACCCTTGGGTTTTAATCAATCCTATCTACATATACCTAACATTGATGATTATAAAAATTAATTACAATTTATTAGAACTTAAATTTCATCGTTTCACAATAACAGATAACTAACTGTTTTTGTAATTAGCATATTATCTAACCTACTGGAGAGTCAAGTCTCTCTTTTCACTGTTCTAATAAATTAATGCTTAACATATTTGACCTGCATCTGACAATATTTGACTGGTCAGTTGACCAGTAAGAACAGTGAGGCAGTGGACTAGACTGCGGAAGGAAACAGTGGAATCTCCATCACTGGACGTGTTCTAGAAATGATTGGACAAGCATTACTCAGGGATGAGATAGGAGCTATGTCTATGCTGTACTATTGGTATTTCCCATACTTCTGGAATTTCCTGATTACTGTGAGGCTGGAATTTTTTTCCCTTCCTGTCGCTAGATATGATGATGGTGGGGGGGGGGGGGTTTACCGTCTTCAGAAGCATTAAGGGTTGGCTGCAGGCAAGACTGGGGATTTTGCTGGGGTTTGCCAGTGCTGCTTCTGGGACTTAAACCCAGAGGTCCATGGGTACAGGGTCTTTCCCCTTTGCTCAGGATCAGGTCTATCACTGTGTCTGGGGCCAAGAAGGACTTTTACCCCACAGTCATATTGGTATGAATTGTGGGGGTTTCTGCCTTTCCCTGCAGCAGGAGGCACGGCCCTCTTCCTAGAGTCCCTTGATCTCTTGTGTACATGTTGACTACCATTGTAGCAGCAGGACACTGACTGCCACTGTACCCCTGCTATACCTGGGGCAGGTTAGGGTGCTATGTCTTACAGTTGTGTCAGGGTTGACTGTGTAGTTTTACTAAGAGGTTAGACCAGACCATGGATTTGGATAGGGATGATCCTGCAATTGATGGGGGTTTGGACTAGATGACCTCTGAATGTGCCTTTCAGCCTGACTTTTCTGTGACTATGAAATGTGCAAGCTTAATTCAAACCAACTGCATTATTATATGAACCCCTTTGGGGACGAGGGAAAAATTACTGGGAATGCCAAACAATCATTGAGGGAGACTATGGAAGAATATATAGTTTGTCACTTATTTTTCAGATACTATTTGAAATGTTAAGGATTAAAGTGTATTAAATCTTTATGTGGCAAACTCTGGACAAATAGCCGCTTGTGACAGCATAACAAGTACAGAGGTGGCAGAAGCTAGAATCCCTCTTGTTGCTGATACCTGTACTAATTCTTAGCTAATTTTTTTGTTTACATATTTTCCATATTTTCTAAAAAAAATATGTTTAGGGGAATAATGAAAGAAAATTGAAAGTAAAAGTTTTCAAATTGTTTTAGTTTTAATTAAAACAGGCCAGGGTGTTTGAGCTGTAATGACACCAGAATCCATTTGTGAGCAGTTTTTAAGACCTCATTCCTCAATACTTTTAGTATTTTCTTACAATTTCACTTTACAGTGCTTCACAAAGCAGTACTTCCAGGCAATGTGAAGCAGTGGTGCATGGCAGTGTTATATATGTCTTAATAACACTCCTGGATCATAAGGCATGCATGCAGAAAGCACCGCTCACAGAGTACTCTGCAGGCCTAACCATTGTCAATTACAAGATTACACAAGTCTAAAGTAATTCAAAGGCTTTTGTATGCCTGGCAATAGCACTTCATTGGTACTGTGAAATGCAGTTTCATATCTGTACAACATCTATAAACATGATTTCTTTCCCCCAAGATGCTGTACTCAGTAACTTAGGTGCTAGATTAATATCCTAGGTCTTTTTTTTCTCTCCAGCACTATCCATCCCCACCAACTCCAAACACACACAAAACAGGACAGCAGTGCAGTACACTTGTCCATACTACTTTCAAGCCTGTTTTAGGCAGAAAGTGTAATTTGCATTCATTTACTGTTGGGTTCCTCTGCCAATACAGCCACTTATGACAGCAGAAGGACATGAAGACCATCACCAGTTTGTTTCTCATAGGACACTGAAAGGGCAATTATAATTTTTTTAAATTTTGGCAAGGTCAGTATTTAAATCAGGGACCCAGAGTTGAAAGGATGCCCTAACAGTAACCCACTGGAGCTCTCAGTTTCCATTAAAAATAACATTACTGAGACATTACCCTCAACTTGCCGGTCAAAACACCCCAGAACATTCAAGTTAAATAAGCGTTCTATTATGAAAGTAACTGTGTTTTTTTTTTAGCTGATTACAGCTAGGACCAGGAAGAAGAGGTTGGAGATGCAATAATCACAAGTCCCTGACATGGTTCAATGAAGAAATTAGTAAGTTTCTTAAAAGCACTATTTATAAAGCTCAGGAATTGCAGCTTTATGCAAGTATTAAGTGGAACCAGAAGTCCAGTGTTTTGGGGAAAGATTCAGAGGAAGTAAATAAACTTTAAGGGGATAATATAACAAATATAGTTTAATCTTACACTACTGTTAACAATGAAACAGTCTTACTGATTTCAAAGGGAAAGTAAGAGAACTATGCCCAAGTTATTTCACGAAAAGCAAGAACTTAAGACTGAAACTTTGCTTATGTCCATAAATATTAGGCGTGAGAGCAGAACGGCATCTGTAACAAAGGACATTTCAAGTTCTTTGCACAACAAATAAGATGAGGGCAAAGCCTCTGTTTGTGTTGCAACTTTTCAAATTTAATTTCTTTCTGGGTTTAGAAAAGTGTTATGAGATTTTCAGGTGGAGACTTATTTGTGGCCCTTCCCTTGCGTACTGGACAAGGACAGCCTGATAATAATATGGACACAAGGCAAAGAACTATACAAACAAAATAAGCAACAATAGTGTCCCAAGTGGAACTGCCAAAGAAGAAGTGATGCTGGAAGCAGAGAAAGCAGCAAAAGGCTCTGAAGAGATAAAAGCTGCTGCACTTCACTCTTTTTGACATGAGGGCCAGGCTTTGCAGTCTGCAGGAAAGGAGGCATGCAGTGGCAGAAGAGACACTTTTATTGAAAAGCAGATACATCCGCCCTTCACACTTGTCACCAGAATGTATTTCCCAGCCCTCAAACTCTGTAACCACTGCCTACCTGATGCAGATATGTGGAAATGTGAGTTAGTTTCTTTCACCTGCACTGTCTTTCTAAATTTACTGCTGGGCACAGCTTGTCACAGGCTGCCTGTTTTTATGCTGCCGCAAAGAACAAAACATCATCCCAAGCTCTGCCCTGCCATTCAGGAAATCAATGCAGAAGAATTTCCAGTAAAATCAGGTTTTGGTTTTTTAAACCCAGAGAGCAATTTCTATGAGGAAGAACCACGTTGATCTGAAAAAGCTATTATGTGTTTTTATTGGAGCTGAGGAACAGTGTGTTCACCTTGTAAGTTTGAATAGTTTTACATGCTATTACTCAAACCACAGCAAGTTTCAGTTCTTCTATTAAATTGTATTTAGCTGGATCTAAATATATATAAATGGAAAGAAAAATATGTACTATATACAAGGAGCAGCTAATAACAAACACCATCATTTTCTTTCCTCAATTTCAGTTTACTTGCAAATTAGAAATAACTGTAACAACCAGGGGGCTGCAGTGGCCCAACATGAAATTGTTTCACATTCAAAATATGTTTTTGTATTTTTTTCTTAAGTTAGAAAAAAGGGAATCTGAAATTCCTGTCTGCAAATGACCTGCTAGGAAGATATTTTAAAGTGTCATTGAATTATTTGGACTGGAATAAAAGTATCTCTTGGATCTTCATTTCATAAATAGTTCTTTAGCCAAGTGACCCACTAGCATTTCTGCCAACAAAGATGCCAGTTATAGCATAATCAGTCTATTTAGAGGTGGACTGAATTATTTCTGTAAGGTTAGACTTTATTATGAAGTAGTGACATGGTTCACATTCCAATGTCCTAAGGCAGAAAACCTCTATACTTATCACTAAACCCACAAAACCTCCATGCTCATTCTAAACTCAAATTCCAAATCCTATCTGGCAACAAAATGTGTTGTTACGGAAGCAATTCTGGTGTTCAAGTTACCTTTACTGGCAGCTGCACCCACCTTACATCAGGATCCCCAAGTTTAAACAGTGTCAGCAAGGAAAATTGCAAATGAATGGAAACTGAAGTTGAAAATGCCAAATATCTAATAGTATCAACAACTGCAACTTCCTAGTTGTTTGGAACAAACCAAGAAAAATTAGAAGTGAACAGCTTGTTCACTTCAACATTACAAAACAGGTATAAATGAAAGAAGGAATGAAACGCACAAAATACCTTGAGTAACAAAGCAAGGTGGTAGTCCTTTGAGATCATGAAGAAAGAAGCAGGAAGGAATGCAGTAAAGTAAGAGAGGAAATGTTAAGATACTTTGGAATGGGTATCGTTTAAAACAATAATCGTAATACATGACTATCCGCCACAAGAATATTTTGCACTAGATCGTTTTAATCTATTGGAAAACAAAACCCACAAAACCCATCACTGCAACTCTGATAAGAGTAAATATGCACATCACCTACATGGAATTGCTAAACCACTGCACAGTGTTTTAGTAACCTGCCTGAAGGTAAAGAAATTACCTTTAAAGAAGGTTGAATATTCCATTTTTATACCCATTTTAGAGCAACTGACATGTATGACCCAATTTGCAACTGAAGAAATATAGAAATTACTTACAACAGTGACACCATATAATGATGTAGAAGAGTTAAGATACAAACAAAAAGCACTTATAAAATACCTCACTTCATAATGCATTTTGCCAGTTTTAATCCATGAATTCTGCATTTTGTCTATATTAAAAATGATTGAGTTTGTCCCTAAAAAAGAAATCCCCTCTATCAAAATTAAATGAGTGTATACTAGACCCCTTTCCTTTTTCTTAATATTAAGAATCTTAGATGTTCTGTGACATCACTACACTTCCTATGAAGTAGTTAATAATGACTTCACTCCTATATGCAAGTTTTCTATGTTGATTTGTTTTAAAGAAATGGTCACAACACAAGAAGCCCAGATACTGCTGTTTGGAAGCCTGAAAAACTTATTACAAACAACACTGATTACAAAAAAAATCTGAAAATAGTCTGTTCACTGCACATACTTGAGAGCACTGTGCTTATAACCAGGTTCAATATCTCCCTGTATAGCCAGGCAGCCTCCCCTGTGTGTAAGCCTTTCATAGGAATGTGTGCTAGGAAGGACCTCCTGAATTATGCAATCTAGTCTGAGATATCATAGGTAACCAGAGCATATACTCTTTTTTTAAGAGATCCAGTTTCAAACCTGTTTGAGTTTGGTTGGTTGTTTCCACAACTGTTGCAAAAGTGATTCTAGACCCTCATTCCTCTGACAGTTAGGCAACAGCTTCTAATTTCCAGGCTAAGTTTATTTATGGTCTGTTTATACCCATTTGTTTTTGTTACAATCGTATCTCTTTAGCTGTGTTTCCCTTTTTTAAATTAAGATGCAAGGGGCAGCAGATGCTTCAAAGCAGGGCTTTATCATTTTAAAGATAAAGGAACAACAAATTTAGAAAGTGTACAAAAGAGTGTAAAAGATGAAGCTTTGTGTGGGAACAAATTTGTGTTAGTTACAGGAAGCAGAACAGCTATTAACCACTGCTATATACAGTTTATATAATACTGGTCTTCAACACAAATACTAAACCCAGCCTAACAAATGGTTTGGCAAGAGTTTATTTACTACACTTTATCCATATAAACTGGCACAGCTCTTTTCCTAATTACAACAGCTATTTCCTGGCACCACAAACTTCACAGCAGGGTTGTTAGGAGCATGCAGTAGTGTAACTAAAGCAGGGTGAGTGGGGCACCAGTCCTGGGCACTGACCAGAAGGGGGGGGGGCCATAACTGTCCCCCTCTTCTCAGGAGTCTTTGCTATGGCACAATCAGCCCTTCCCTACCCACTACCTGACCTTAGGAGGCAGGCAGGGCAGTGTATCTGAAGGATGGGGGAAGGGGAAGGTTGTGAGTGCCCCTGACCCAGGAGCCTTTCCTAGTCCTGAACCCAATATGCATGCATGGGAGAGGGAGCCAACAGGCCACCAGGGTCAGCTCCCAGGGAGCCCAGCCACTGGGCTGCTGCTTGAGCACAGTGGTGTTGCTCCAGCAGCAGCAGGGACAGGTAAGCCTTCCCCTTGCCACATCCATTTCCTCTCACTCCCCTGAGGCTACAATGGTCAGCATACCCTCACATCCCCTCCCCCACTGTGAATGCTCAATGAGCTCATTACGGCTCTGGGAGCAGGTTTTGCTTCCCTTTATTTTCTCATATTTCTTTAAAGGGCTTGTGAGAGAGTCTGGACTGACCCAGCTGAAAAATGGAACTATTTATTCACAGGACAGACAGCAGCTGTAGAGCTAATTTACTTGTACTACCTTGCTAATGTGCCAGGAGAAACTACTTTCCAGAGCTGGGGGGTAATTTAGCCAAGTGAGCACTGTCAGCTTTGCCAACAAAGGTGCTAGTTATAGTATAAATCAGGGGTAGGCAGCCCCAAGAACGTGAGCCAGAATGTGGCACGCAAAGGCATTTTGCTTGGCAGTCACATCTCAGGGAAGGGGCCAGGGCTGTGCTGCCACAACAAAGATTGGGGCCCTTGCAGCTCCCCCTTTGTCCACCCCTGGCATACCAACATTTTATAAGGTGAGGTTGCGGTTGTTTTTGGCACTCTGCCCAAAAATGCTGCTGACCCCTGGCATAAATCATTTCATTTAGAGATGGACTAAATTCTGCAAGGTCAAACCTTGGCTTATTATATGTTAGTGCCATGGTTCACACTCCAATGTCCTATCTAATCACTAATCCTACAAATCCTCCATGCTTATTCCATACTCTGTTAGAATCCTACCTGGTGTCAAAACTAGTTGTAATGGAAATAATTCTGATGTTAAAGATAACTAGTTACATACAGCCATACTAACCCAGTAGAGCTCTCAGATTAACTGGGTCAGAGATATTCAGTACTAAAACGATGATCAAATGAGTGATGTTCTTACTTAAAATCAGTGCATTAACACAATACAATGCTTCAATAGTGTATAGCTGACTGTTCAATTCATTACCTTTTGGAGAAGGTAAATTAGAGACTTTTATTTGTTAGCAATCCCTCAGCATCTTCCAGAAAATGAGGTGTTAGCCAAAGAACACCATCCATGTACCAGGGTGGAAAAATAATTTAGAAGCTGAATAAATAGAAGGCAATCTGCTTTATAGAACCTTCCCATCAGGTACAAAAACACAATCTCCAAAGCTAACAGCTTGGTGGAGATCAGTAACTAGAAGAAGAGCAGTTGACTGGAGCAGAGTTTTAGAAAAACAAGTGATGTTGGTGGAGTGAGGAAAGCTTTTCAAAGAACTGACCCTCTCTGCAGCAACCACCTTTCCTTTCCTTGATCACATTTGTTTTCATAGTTAAGAGAGTTACTGAGGATGTGAATGATCAGGCCCCTGTATACAAAAATAGTCATGCTGCAAAAAGCTCAAGCTTCATTTTATATTTATAGTTGGGGAGAAGACTCCTGAGCTTCAGTTGTGGCTGACCTTTTGGTTTGTAATTCTCCATCTCCAAATACAAACCGATAAATGTTATAACATTTTAAAAATATGATTTTTTAAAAATAAAATTATTTAAATTTTATACTGATTCAGAGCATGGTACTCTTTCTCTGCTCCAATTATCTTTGGACAGGGCTGCATTTAAGGTTTTCATTCTTTTTTTTGAAAACTCTCAATGAAATGGTCCAAAATGACCTAAAGACCCTCCTTATTTTCATGATCATCATGACCCAGGATACCCATATCTCACTAAAACAATGGATCTATGGATCTAGCAAACTCATATTAATGTGCATATTTGGGGGGGGCAGGGGGTACCAACAAGCCCATTAATTTTAAATTGTTCTCTTATGAAATCAGGGTATATACAAACTACAGCACTGAAAAACAAATGCTTTTCTTAAATCTTAAATTAACCATCTTAAAAATGGAACACATAGAAGGAAACAATCCTACTATAGACTAATCTAAAGTACTAAGTTCAAATCTTACACTAGATTTCTTTACCTTTCCAGATTCAAAACCCACTTTGGTGAGAACCTGTTTCTTTATCACAGAATTTCTGTTAAGCTCACTATGCTACCTGAACTCTTAGTTTGAAAGCCACTCCACAAGACCAATCTGCATAGAAAAGAATTATCATCTTTCTACTACCTGCCAATCTGAATGCTTCTAAAAGGAAAATGTATTAAACCTTTATGAAAAAATATAAAAAAGGAATCTGCTAAAAATCTTTTAGCGCTCAACAATTAAGTTATAAGCAAATTGGGTCACTACCAGCTTTAACTACCCTATACTTTGAAGCGCATTTACTGAAAGTATCTGAAAGGAGAAAACGTATTGTAAATACCATCAGATTATCCATTTACACAGAATACTCTAATATAAACAATCTTTACAGTTCCTTAAGAAAACTAGAATGTAAAAGAAGAAATACATAAATGCATAGTCAAATCTCACACTGCTTTTTTTTGTTTTGTTTTTTTTACAGACAGAAAGCTGTATTCCAATTACCAGAAAGTAAGTTACAGAACAGACTTCTGCTGCACTGGCCAGCTTTTATACTTAACCAATCTTGATATCAAGTGTGAGAGCAGCAGAAGTGCATCAACTAGTTATCTAGACTTTATAAAATATGAGCAGAAGTCTTTATCAGCTATCTTTTCTTGCTAAGTATAACCATCTGCAGATGCACCCATGATAACCAAGGTATTCAAATTCAGAATGACATGGTTCATAAAGGTCCTTTGCATGCACGCTACTTTTTCTCCTTAGATGACCCATGGGCTAGGGACAGACATTCAAAAAACCTGACCCTAAATTGATTCAATCTTTGCAGGTTAGTCTAACCTGCAGAGATTGAACCAATTTGCAATCGGATAGATATTCTCTTTTAATTCCAGAAATGCAGGCACATGCCAGCAGTGGCTCAGGCCAGAAACCTGGGGGTGCTAAAGCAGAACTCCCTTCCCTTCCACAGGGAACCTGAGCTGGGGAGGGATGGCAGGGGAAGGGCATGGCCAGGCCCCAGCAGGCCTGAGTAAGACTGAGGAGGGGTTTAAACCCCCACCTTGGGCTGCAGGGTTCGGAGGGTGGGGGAAGAGGGAGCATGGCCAGAACCCCATGGCAGAGGAAGAGGAGAAGGAGGGGAAAGCTCTGGCCACCACAGCGACTCCCTGACAGCTGGGAGCAATCATGGCGCACACCTCTGCTATCCGGCCTCGGAGGAGGAATCTTCCCCCTCCTCCCCGCAGCCACAGGACTCTGGGGTGCTGGAGGGGGACTCTTCTGCCTCCCACTCCTCCTGCCCCCTGCTACCACAGGGTGGTGCTGCCTGGCCTGGCTGCCTCGCTCTGTGTGGTGCTGCTTCACCTGGCCCAGCCTGCATGCGTGAAGCAGCTGTCTCTGAGCCACAGCCGCTGTGGATGGCCAAGGCAGCTAGATGGCTGGGCTGATGCAGGGGCAGGGCCTCCCCAGTGGCTGCAGCTCAGTGACGGAGAAGCCCCAGCAGGGGCAAGGGTGTGGCCAGATGCCATCCTGGCATGTCTCCATTAAGGCAAAGGGGGAAGGGAGGAAGTTAATTCCTCCCTCTGTCCCTTCTGCCCCCGGGGACCACAGCCAGAGTCTGCCAGCCCCAGCCACCCCTTCTGCCCCTAGCCTGCAGACAGGCAGACCATGATTGCAGTGGCAGAGGGGAGGGGAAGGAGGGAAGAATTAACCCCCTCCCTGCCCACTTCGACTTAACAGGTCCATGCTGGGGCGCATCTGGCCATGTCCCTGTCCCTGCTTGGGTTAGAGAGCAGAGGGGTGGGGCCAGCTCTGCTCTCTGGAGCAGATGGCAAAGCCCACTTCATGGCTGCAGAGCATCCTGGGATGCTGGAAAACTCTGGTTTAACTAAAACCAGGAAGGGGTCTGGGACAGAAGTTGCATAACCCAGTTTGACCCAAATCAATTAAGTCTGATACTACATTCAATCGGGTTTCAGCCGTTTCAGGCATTTTGAAACTGGTTTATGTGCACTGAACTTTTGTTCTGTTATAGGTTTAAACCAGTTTCTGATCACTTAAAACCAGTTTATGTGTAACTTCTGTCCCTAGTCATAAAGACATGCCAGGAAGAATCATCTTTGGGAAAGAATGGGGATAAAGAACAGATAAGCTTTTACAGTTTTGCTTTCAAGTAACTGTCCTTAGAATGTGAGAGAGTGATGGAAAGAATATCTCTTAATGTACAGAAGCAAAGCGATCTCTAGGGAGAAGATTTTTCATCGTTTTTAAGCCATTCTTTTCTCCTTATTTTCCACTTGATAGCATGATCTTCTCAGGTCTTCAGGTTGCCAATTGAAGCCCGTCTGAAAAAGTGGCATCATAATCCATTTTGCCACCAAAATATTAAATCAAAATGGAATTACTCTGACTTCAAATGAGAGTAAGACATAGATTATACAAGAGAAACAAAATTCAACTGTAAGGCACAATATTCCTACTTGTAAACAGCAAGACTATGGAAAAGGAAAGAGCATTTCTAACAGCATTCTTCAGTGAAACAAAACTAGTTACTAGTTCTCATAATATATTACAGTGGTGCTCAACCTCTGGCCCTGTGACCTAGATAAGTGGTACAGAGACCCAAGCCATGGGCTCAATCCCACACACAGGGTAAGTCTGCAGGCCTCATCCAGCACAAGGTCAGCACACGGGATTGGTCTGCGGGTGCAATCTGGTGTGCTGGTATGACCCCACAGGCCAGATCCAGCTGCAGTGCAACCCTGCACATCAACCTGACCACTCGCCAGTGTATGGAGGTCCCCATGGATTAAGAACTTTGGTGGCGAGGGAGGGATGGCAGCAATTCATGATGCTGCCACTCCTCTGCTGCAAAATTTCTGAACCAGGGGGAACCCATGGGCCACAACAGGTCCACAAACTAGATGCAGCCCACAAGATGGAAGTTAGTTCTAGTAATATACTGTACTCAACACAATAAGTTTGAATACCACTAATATATTACATCAATGATGAGGAAATATTGTAAAAGGTCTTACTATTGATTAATATTTTATTGGCTGTGATGTCAGTTACGTGAAATTAGACTTTTCCTCCTTCCACTTCACAATTTTGGTGCTTTACATTTCTGTCTAACAAAAAAAAGCTGGAATGTAAAGAATTACACCCTTCCTTTGCTTCAAGATTCTTAAAAAGTTGTAAAAGCATAGGATACTGATTTTAGTACAGCTTTAAACAGCTAAATATAGCACAGAATTAAACTTTACATTCTAATTATATTTGGAATTCCCTTGAAAAAAAGTTTTGTAAAAATGCCCATATAATTAGTTCTATTAATTACTTTCCACTTGAGATGGTACATACTTATATGACATCTTAACATTTTTCCTTTCAAACATGCTTTTCACCAGCTAAATGTGAAAAGTACTTTCCCATTTTAAAATTATACATTTTCTTATACAATTATACAATTCTTACCTTCCAAAACAGAATACTACAATGCCGACAGAAATGCAAAGTGTCTCCATATTGCTCCTTTATGGGATAACATTTCTGAAGTGCAAAATACATCAGCTTCCAGTCAACGTGACCTTTTTCTGATGGAATCAAATGTCTACAGAACTGGACATAAAAATTAATATTTTCTTTAAAATGGTTGCAGATGATAGTCAAATCAATACAAGCTTCAAGTGTAAAAGAACAGTTCAGTTGAATTTTAATAATTGTGCCTTTTTGGGACTAATATTCTGACTTGTATACAGAGCTTTATGGAGTGTCAACCTGAAACTCTGAAGTTCAATTTTAAGGTCCAGCCACACAAGATGATTTATCCCAAATTCTAGTCCACAACCCTCCAAATACACGAACATTTCAGAAAGAAACCAAATTAAGTAGAAAAAGCGAAGAAAATAACAGACTATGGACTTGTTAAAATATGTATAATTTATTTAACTCCACTTCCATAAAGGAATAAAGAGTTAGATCTCCTAGGTGCTGAAATACTAGGGGTTTTTTAGGCCCCTTGCCCTCAGAGTGAAATCCAAAACCCTGACTTAGGAAACTTTGCAGTGCATGGGGAGAATCAGGCACCCCAAAAGGGCCACTCAAAACACCTGTGTGGTGAATGGTTAATTTCTTACAGCTGAACCATAGGAAACACTAAATACAAGGATATGCTGAATTCCTGCTCCACTTTAGAGTTTATCTCCTAAGCCAGGGCTGTGGGGAAGCACCTCCGCCCACTCAGGTTTCCAAGCCTGGGTTCCTCTTCTTAGATTGTGTGCTTACAATTTTTTTTAAAGATACCAGCAGGGGTTATGGGTTTTCTTTTCAAAAGGGACCAGAGGAGAGGAAGGTCCACTAGGATGAGGAGGCCAATTGTTATATAATTGCCTAATGGTTTGAGAATTGATACAACAAGGAACAGGATGATCTCATGGTTAGGACATTTTCTCAGGAAGGGTGAGTTGGAAGTTCCAGGCCCTATATTTCCATGGCATGCTTTTAATCCAATAACTGTTTAATGTAAAATGCATAAACAAACAGAGTAGGGACCAGACACTAGAATTTCACTTTCCCAACTGACTGTCCTAACCTAAGTTACAGTCATGCTTCTTCTTGCTGGAACTTGCTGGCAGTGCCCAAAGATTGGAAGAAGGCCAATGTGGTGCCTACCTTCATGTAAGGGAGGAAAGTAGATCCGGGGAACTACATGCCCATCAGTCTGAGCTCTATCCTGGGGAAGATCTTGGAAAAAATTATCAAAGAGACCATTCTTGACAGATTGGCTGATGGCAACATCCTGAGGGATAGCCAGCACGGGTTTATTGTGGGTAGGTCTTGCCTGACCAATCTTATCTCCTTCTACGGCCAGGTGACATATCACCTGGACAAGGAAGAGGAGATTGACATCATACATCTTGATTTTAAAAAAGCTTTCGATCTGGTATCCCATGATCATCTCACAGAAAAACTGGCCCACTGCGGCCCTGGCTACATCACAATCTGCTGGCTAGGGAACTGGCTCCGTGGTCAGACCCAGAGAGTGGTAGCCAATGGAAGTCAATCATTGTGGTTCGCCGTGACCAGTGTTCCATCCTTGGGCCTATACTCTTCAACATCTTCATTAACGATGTGGACATTGGTGTCAGAAGCAGACTGACTAAGTTCGCCGATGATACCAAACTTTGGGGTAAAGTGTCCTCACTCGAGGCCAGGATGGTGATCCAGGCCAACCTTGACAGGCTCAGAAAATGGGTGGATGAAAACCTGATGGTGTTCAATGCCAAAAAATGCAAGGTTCTCCACTTTGGGAAGAAAAACCTGCAGCATGCTTATAGGCTTGGCCGTGCTATGCTTGCTAGCACCATGGCTGAAAGGGACTTGGGGGTCATGATTGACCACAAGATGAATATGAACCACCAATGTGATGTTGCAGCTGGCAAAGTGAGCAAAACTCTGGCTTGCATTCATACATGCTTCTCTAGCAAATCCCAGGATGTCATCCTCCCTCTGTACTTGGCCTTGGTGAGGTCGCAGCTGGAGTACTGCATCTAATTCTGGGCTCCACAATTCAAAAAGGACATGGAGAAACTTGAGAGAGTCCAGAGGAGAGCCACATGCATGATCAGAGGTCAGGAAAACAGACCTTATGATGAAAGGCTGAGCGCTATGGGACTCTTCAGCCTGGAAAAGCACGGGCTCAGGGGGGACCTGGTGGCTACCTACAAGTATATGAGGGGTGTACATCAGGATCTGGGGGAACACCAGAGCGCCCCAAGGGATGACAAGGTCAAATGGTCACAAACTCCTCCAAAACTGTTTCAGGATGGACATAAGGAAGAACTTCTTTACTGTCCAAGCCCCAAAGGCCTGGAACAGACGGCCGCCAGAGGTGGTGCAAGCACCTACTCTGGACTCATTTAAGAGACATTTGGATGTTTATCTTGCTGGGATCCTTTGACTCCAGCTGACTTCCTGCCCCTGGGGCAGGGAGCTGGACTTGATGATCTTCCAAGGTCCCTTCCAGCCCTAACGTCTATGAATCCTATGAAATCCTCCATGACTGCATTCGTTTCTGCCCAGTGAAAAAGTTCCAATAAGAGTAGGACATGCCTCCCACTGTCCCCTAGCTAATATAGTTATTAGTGAACAGTTTAGGGAGATGGGAGATGAGGGTTTGAATTCCCGTAGGCCAGGAATTCCCTCCACTCCTTGGGCAAGCGCGTTAACTACTAGGTTCTTTTATAAGAGCCATTACATCCTCCTCCTGCCTCAACCCTTCCTCCAAATGTGTTTTAAAACTAAAACAGTTGCAACTGCCTTTTACAAGAGACCCTGTCCTGTCAGTGTTTGTTAGGATCAGCCCCTTGGTGTACTTATGCTCCATCTAGCTTCTGGATTCCAACAGAACTAACATGGGAGATAAGCACCTAGCTGCTCAGGCTGGGGCAGTTCTGTGCATGCCAAACACAGAGGTACCCACGTAAGTTTCAGAGCCGCTGCTTCTGCTTTTTTTATCCCTATTTTGGATGTAGGTACGTCAAGTACAACCAAATCCTATTGTAAGCACCTAAGTCTATTTAGGATCTAGCCCAAAGTCGATACTATGTCCAAATAACAAGAGAAATATTTTAAAGTATTTTACAGAAATACTTATTCACTGGGTGTATGTACATGCGCACTTAATGCAAGTGATAAACTCCAGAGCACTCTGAGCTGGAGTACACTGCTTTCTGGGCACAGCATCTACACATGTGCCTGGGACAGTAACACTTTAAGCTGGGGTGGAACAAGCCTATGCTGGCAGCAGACTCGGGGGGTCAGTCCCAGACTTCAGGTGGCAGCACTGGACAGCAGAGGGGCTGGCTGGAGAACAGAAGTGCCAAATCTATGGAGCCACGTGGCTAAACCTGCTGCCTGAGCTGACCAGGTGCAATTTCTGCATCACCATCTACACATGCATTTCAGCGCTGTAAAGTACTCCACCGTAAGATAGTACTGTCTTCAACACTACTATCTTACAGTGGAGTTAATTTACTGAGCCCTAATACTAGCGCATGTGTAGACTATGATGCACACACTGAGTATTTTTCTTTATTTCTATATAAAAGTGAAAGATGCATGTATTTCAATTCATGGCTTATATAACTAAAAGTATGGGCAAAGACTTCATAATAATTATGGTTAGAAACTTCAAATAATTCTTTTTCTTCAGAATAAAAGAACATACTCCAGTCTTCTTTGTACATATCTTTTTGGAAGTGTGGCTCATCCAATCACATGGACTGATATGCTTCAATGGAAAAGACCCAGACTTGCTATTGTACAATGAGAATCCTACATTAGCTTTCCATTTGGACATGTAGATCCACTTTGAATGTTGAGTAAGCAAAATTGCAGAAGTCGCTCTTAGTATGGAGTAAGTGTTCTGTGTGAAATTCAGGTTGAAGAACTACTGCATTTTAAATTCACACCTAGCCTATGTAGACACTGTGTAATTTTCCAATGAACAGTTTAAAGATATTTCAAGTCAAATGATTCTGTTCTTACTAGTAAACTGAGAAGACAATAAAAAAAACTAGGAAGAGCTACATCTTATAGCTGTTTGTAAAAGTGGCTCAGTTCTAAATTGAGGAAACTTACAATTTGATAGCTGAAAAATAGTTTTATTAACCAAGTGAAAATCTACTTGAAAACTTCATGAGAGTTTAAAAAGACCTCTTAGCATTTTTCAATAGTGTTTTTAGAGTTCCTACATTCAGCAAATTATTCTAAATTGCTTTAGTGATCTTCATTTGTTCTATTATCTTCTAATAACTTCTTCCTTCAATCTCTTCAGAATTCTTCCTCTTGTCCCTTCTACAAGGTCAGCTCACCTTGTACATTTTTAAGGTGACAAGAAAAGTCAACACAGATGTCAAGAACAAGTTTTGTCAAACCAACCTAATTTCCTTCTATGACAGGATAATAAGCCTTGTGGATAGCAAAGAAACAAAAAGTGTAATGTGGTTTGATTTTAGTAAGACTTCTGATACTGCATCAAGTGCTGCCATCTTAAGCAAACTGGAAAAATATAACCAAAGAAAACCTACTGTAGGGCAGATCTGAAACTGGTTGCAAAACTGTACTCAATGTGCAGTTATTAATGGCTCACTCTCAAGCTGAAAAGATGCGTAAAGGAGGGTCTGCAGGAAGTCTGTAAAGAGTCTGGTATCTTTCAGTATTTTAATTATTTGCAAATGGAATAGAGTGCACCCAACAAATTTGCAGGATATCAAGCCGGAAAGGGGTGCAAGTTCTCGGGAAGACAGGATCAGAAATGAAAATGATCTTGGCAAATTGGAGAAATGGTCCAAAATGAAAAGGATAAAATTCACAAAGGACAGGTGCAAGGTTCTACACTTTGATAAGAATAACCAGCTGCACATATACAAAAAGTGGCTGGTCAACAACTCTGCAGAAAAGTATCTGGAGAGGGCTGGAAGGGAGTATAATGAATCACAAACTGAACATGAGCCAACGATATCACACCGTTTCTAAAAAAAGCCAACACCATACTGGGATGTTATGATGATATTGATACTGACAATCTTTATCACACCTTTATTTGGGTTTCCTGT